CCCCAAAACCCCAAAACCCCAAAACCCCAGAATAAGTTCAACATTGAAGATAAAATTATATATTTCAAACAAATAAATGTTGACCTCAAGAACCAAACTCAAAAATCGAGCAGTGTTCTGTAAATCACACAGTAAATCTATAAATCTTGACTTGAAGAAAGGTAAAGGTTTCTGTTTCTTTGCTAGAAATGGTCAATTCAGCCTAAAATTGCTTACACATTCATTTAGAATCATCATTTATAAGAAGACGGCACTTGAAAACAACAATTAGACAGTTTGACCCCAAAGGAAGTCTGTCTCTAAGTAAGTCTCCTCGTTTACTGAAATAGAAAAACTTAAATAAGGTAGATGAAGAGCCTGAGTCAGTTCCTGGGATCATTGATAAACTTTCCGGCACTCCTCTAAAAGAGCAGAGGGGTATTCCTCTGACTAAATCAAAATCTCGCATAGAGAAGGAGGTTAAAATTTATAAAATGGCAAAGAGATTACCTAATTTTATGTAAGTTTGGAGCTTGCCATATATCTATTCTGTAGCTCTAGCTCAGATGAAGAATCACCTGAAGAGGATGAACAAGATAAGTAAGATTCCAGAAATATGAATAGGACATTTAAATCACTCCAGAGAATGTTCCAGGAGAAAGCCCAAACTAACTGGAAATAAGATCTCAGACTTCATTCTCTTACAGAGTAAATAAAGATTTAAGAAGCAAACTCAAGATTATTAATCAGAGGTAGGCATACTCAGGTCGGGGATTTCGACTAGAATGTAAAACTTACTCTTGCTTTATTGAGGTTATGGTAATAAATCTATAGGCTTTACACAGATCAAAAGCAACTTAGCAAATTGGCAATGAGGAATAAAGGCAAAAATCTCAACCCTGGCTTTGAAAAATCCAACTTATTAGTATCAAATTTGCAAAATTCTCAAGAGTTTGAAGAGTCGGATCCAGAAAGTGATTTTTCTGTCTTTCCTCAGGCGAGGCATCAATCACTGATCTTTAAGAGAAATCCTAAGGAATCAAAACATAGGAAAAGATGAACATTTAGGAATCTTCATCCAGTGCTACCTCTTCATCGTCGGCATCAGTTCGTTGGCAAAGAATCTCCCAGAAAAGTAAAGACTCGGCGATTTAAATAGGAGATCGACTAAAATAGAGATAAAAAACTCCTCATTGCATACTTCAGAAAGGAATGGGAGAGAAGAAACATATGAATTGATAAGAACTTTTAATATCGAAAGAATAGTACCTTAGATTCGACCAAAGTTGGATGAGAAATTTGGATAGCTGAGGGACCAAGTGATGCTTTGTCGATATTATGAGGAATTTGATACTTGGAATTATGGCACATCCCAGTCTGGTAGTTTAACTTTGCACAGTGTGTTATAATATATTTGTGCATCATAAGCAACCTTAATTTTTTAAGCAGGTCTATTGTTAATCTATAATTTCTATATAAACAATCTTTGGTTTTCCTTCAGGTTCTAAAAACTCATAGAACACGTTGCATCAGCCACATATCCAGATCAGAAACAATCTGTTGATCTCAAACTTCTCCAAAAGGAACTTCTCAATGGACCAAGCTTCGAATTCTCAAGAAGCTAAAATATTCTCAGGTACTGAGGAAATTGCAGAAGAAGGCAAGTCTAAAAGAATTGTTTGTTTTAAGGTTCAAAGTGATAATTAGAAAGGTTAGAGGCAAATAGAGGATATAGAATTGAATTTTAAACTAGAAAGTGTAGTTTTGGCCTTTTTGGGAGAAAGTTTGAATTGAGTTCTAAGAAATTTTATTGTGGCAGTGATGAGTTTGAATTAGAGTTTGAACAAAATTCGATGCAAAAAACTCACATGACCAAGAGTGTCAATAGTTCTTTCAGAAAGTAATATTTGTGTATTAAATTATAGAGATTTACAAAGTACTCATACATCAATATTCAGTTCAAATTATTCAATAATGAGTCATTCAAAATTCCACAGAAAAAGCAAGGCTTCAAATAACTCTAAGCAACCAAAGTACTCCTTAATTGTCTAAAATACAGGAAAAATGTTCAGAACTACTTTAGACGTTCCTTGTATTCCTTTAAATTCATTTTTCTAGGATCTCATTCAGCTGCCATAATAAACAGAAACAGAAGATCTCCCAGGTCAAGAAGATACTCCAGATTAAATAAGATGAATAAGCCTATATATTGGTGATTCAATTCTGACTCATAGAGAAGGGGTTTTGGGGTTTTGGGGTTTTGGGG